GAGCCACCATAGATTTCCATAATTATTTTGTTATAATTATTACTACAATTTCTAAATATTTTTAAATATTTTTGCTTCACTGTTTTTTCGTTATGCATAATTATTAACATTATTTAACTTTATTTATTATTAACATTATTTATTGTTAACATTATTTTTATTAACATTGTTCATCATTTATTTCTTTATTATTTGTTATTTATTAACATAATTCATTATTAACATTATTTTCGCTTTTGCTGCAGTTCTTGTTATTATCATTATTTTTAGCAGTAATAGTATTTCTATTAATATAAGTATCCTGATTATTGCCATTGATATTTTTTTATTATCATTGTTGCTATAATTACCACTATTATTATTACTATTATTATCACCATTCGTTTATTATCAGTAGTAGTATTATTATTATTATAATTATTTTTATTATTTTTAGCATTTTTATTCTTATATAATTCTTATAATTGTCATTGTTATCTGTTATCATTTTTATTATGATCATTATTATTAATCATATGATCCTCATGATTGTTATTATTGCTACTAAAAGTAATATTATTGGTAATATCTTATTATCATTGATAGTTTTACTTATTTTTTCTTTATTGTTATTATTATCATTATTGCTCTTCCTTTCGTTTTTTCCTCCTTTTGTAATTCCTGCTTTTACTAATATTTTTTTAAATGATCATTTGCACTACTATCATCATTATCATTGATATCATGACCAGACGAAATGCCTTTTTCGGAGGGCGGAGCTTTGTCAGCGAAGGCACTGATCGCCTCCTCAACTCGGACGACTTTCAGGCGGAACGGCGATGCACTGGGCAGCCAGGCGGGGGCAGTGGGGGGCGCTGGAGGCTCTTTTGGCGGGCGGGGCCGACGTGGACCCCGTCGATGATGAGGGCAACACGCCTCTCCACGACGCAGCTTCAAACGGGGAGCTTCTCGCGGCGGGCGTCCTGACTGGCTTCGGGGCGTCCACCAGCAAGAAGAATAAGGGCGGGAAGACTCCGCAGGACCTGTTGGGAAAACCTTCCGCTGATAGACTCTTCTCCATGGTAAAGACAGAAGGCAATCAGACTGATATGGACCAATGTGCTGTTACCAGGCTGGGCGCCTTGGTCGTTGGCTACACTTACTGTTGTTTATTCGTCGGAGATATATATATATATTTTTTTTTTTTTTTTTTTACGTTGAATACACTAATTGTAGTCGACTAAAGCGAGTTACTTTTCAGGCGAAGAAATGTGCTGAGGCCGAGAAGGAAAGGATGAGGGAGATGCAGGTTAGTTCTTATTTTCCAAAACAAGAAATACAGAAATACAATGAAATACAGAAATACAAAGAAATACATTAACACGGAGAATTACAGAAACACAGAGAAATGCAGAAATACAGAAATACACGAATGGAGAAATGAGAGGTGATCCTCTGATCTGCTTCTCGACTCAATTCCCGCTTTATTCACCGAGTCTTAAGGAGCCGATGGTCGTCTGGTCCCGCTTCCGCTGCGGTGCCACAGTTCCCTCGACGCTCTCCTGAGACTGTTTTCCCTTGCAGGACAAACTCGAGGAGCAGCAGGAGATGAAGAAGAGGTACGACTCGAAGGAGGCGGAGGCAGACACTCTGCAGAAGGAAAATGGAGAGTTGAAGAAGGTGCTTCAGGAGAAGGAAAAGGAAAACAAGGTAACTCAGGTGCATGTAAGAGACACAGGGAGGGAGAGAAAAGAATGAAGAAGGAAGAGGGGAGAAGAAAAGAGAAATGTGATAGTAGGGAAGCCACAGAGAGTATAGGAGTGGGGAGCCAAGTAGAAAGATATGAGAAGACACTTTCCTGAGACTCTTCTCTTGCAGGACAAACTCGAGGAGCAGGCGAGGAAGATGAAGAAGAGGTACGACTCGAAGGAGGCGGAGGCAGCCGCCCTGCAGAAGGAAAACGAAAAGATTAAGAAAGACCTTCAGGAAAATGAGAGAGAAAAGAAATTTCTGAAGGTACGTGTTAGTGAGAAAGGGAGAGGGGAGAGGAGAGAAAGAAGAAGGGAGGAAAAGGAGAGTGGAAAAGAGAGAAATCATTGTTTTATTTCCTCTGTTACAAGGGCTGTTCCTGATGTAACAGTCTGTTTCATCTTGCTTCTAAATGACCCCCATGTGCAAGGAATGGCCGGGGTTGCCATCCACTGGCGGTGCGGGGAACTGAACGCGGGTCAGCAAGAGTGCCGGACGAGACCGCTACCACTGCACCACACAGAAAGGGGATAGGGAAGCCAGAGAGAACATGGGAGGGGGGGCTAAGTAGAAAAATATGGAAAGACATTCCTGCGACTGTTTTCTCTTGCAGGAGAAACTCGAGGAGCAGGGGAAGGAGATGAGCAAGAGGTACGACTTGAAGGTGGCGGAGGCAGCCATCCTGCAGAAGGAAAATGGAGAGTTGAAGAAGGAGCTTCAGGAGAAGGAAAAGGAAAACAAGGTAACTCAGGTGCATGTAAGAGACACAGGG